CATATCTAGTGAGAAACGCTGTCCTCGGGACATCCTGCTCCCGAACCCGAAGTTGATGATATCCAGACCGCAGATCAATCTTAGAGAAATAAGTAGCTCCCTTCAACTGATCAAACAAGTCATTAATCCTGGGCAAAGGATACTTGTTACGAATAGTAACCTTGTTCAACTCCCTGTAATCTATACATAAGCGGAGCGAACCATCCTTCTTCTTCACAAATAAAACCGGTGCTCCCCAGGGTGAAGTACTCCTGCGAATGAAACCCTGGCTGAGTAGCTGCTGAATCTGATCCCTCAGCTCGCGCATCTCCACTGGTGCCATCCTATATGGTGCCCTAGCAATAGGCGTAGTGCCTGGAGCTAAGTCTATCACAAAGTCGATCTCGCGACTAGGCGGCAACCCTGGAATCTCCTGAAAGACATCCGGGTAATCCTGTACAATTGGTATGTTATCCAATAATACAGTAGTCCCCTCATCCGTTTCCTCCTCCATATGAAACAAATAGGTGCTAGTGATCCCCTTAGAACGCGGCATAGCGACGACGTACATGTCCTGACCAGGTGTAGTGAAAATAACTGATCTATCATAACAATTAACTTGGGCATGGTAATGCGATAACCAATCCATCCCAAGTATCACGTCATAAGTGTGCATGTCCAGGACCAATAGATTGGCTAGAAATCTGAGTCTACCAATATCTAGTGTCACAGGCCCATCACTCTCATGTAAAATGGCTGTATCGCCCAATGGTGTAGAAATACCTTGAGGTTTAGTGCATACCCTCGTCCTCATCCCAGATAAAGCAACAAAAGTCCTAGCTACAAATGAGTGTGTAGCACCAGTATCAAATAAAACACGTCCATGTAAACAATAAATAGGAAACTTACCCTCAATAGCCTGAGGTGCCCGAACATCCTGTGGCATGAGGTTGTACACCCTGCCATAATGTAACTGCTGCGATGCCTGTCCCTGAGGCTGCGGCGGCTCTGGTAAAGCTGGATATGTCTGTTCCTGAATCCGTGGAACCTGTGGAGCTGGTAAAGGCACTGGTGCCCTCTGCCCCTGCTGCACATGTTGTCCCTGTCTCAGTCCCTGTCTTACTGTAGGACACTGCCTGGAAGTGTGACCATACTCTCCACAAGTATAGCAACTACCCTGGAAAGTACCAAATGGCCTCCTCTGTCGGTTAGCCTGTGGCTGACCCTGTCCTGCCTGTGGTCCCCCATTCTGCTGCCTCTGAATAGGTGCCCCATTCTGCTGAGCATCTGAACCACCCTTGTGCTTCTTCCAAGGCTGATGTCCCTGGAATTTGCCCTTGTCATTCTGTCGGTGTCCGTTCCCATTCCCTTTCTCAGCTGACTGATTAGCAGAGTCTCGATCACCCCGCTTCTCACCCTTGGCCTGTCTAAAATCCACGGTCAACTGATACTGCTGTAGAGCGGCGTCTACCACCTGAGCATAAGTAGTATAGGCTGGACTACCCGTAATAGCTCTCTTGATAGACCACATCAGTCCCTTGACGAAACTGTTGCGCTTCTTCTCCTCTGTATCCACCTTCTCCGGTGCAAAGAGAGACAAGCGTGTGAACTGCTGCTCATACTCCGCTACTGTCATGTTCCCCTGCTGCAGATTAAGAAACTCAGTCTTCATGGCTGCCCTGATTGCATAAGGGAAATACTTTTCATCAAAGCGTGCACTGAACTGATCGTAAGTCAATGCCATCCTCTCCGCTACGGTGGTAACTGACTCCCACCACTGTAGTGCATCCCCAACTAGCTTGAAAGTAGCAAGCATCTGCTTCTGAACCTCCGTGCACTGAACCAAGCGAAGATGTCGCTCGATATCCTGTTTCCACTGATGAGCTGCTCTCGCATCGGTGGAGCCTGTGAACTCAGGTGGGCTCCCCTTTGTGAAAGAACTCCTAGCCTTCTCCCAAGTATCAATCCGAACAACCGGTGCCGGTAACGGTGCCGGCTGTACTTGAGGCTGATTCCGAAGTGCAGCGGTTACCCCCGCTTCTATAGCCCGAGCAATAAGGTCATTGATGTGAGGAGGAAACTCTGGATCTCCTCCCTGATCCCGAGTCTGCTGAACTTCCTCATGCTCCTCATAAAACTGACCCTCATCCTCCTGACGCTGCCTACGAGCCGCCTCCCTTCGTTGCCTGTTTCTCTGATTGTCGCGTCTTCTTCTAGCGTTAACCATTCTGTTAACATAGAAAGACAGACATTAGTACGATTTAACCGAACCGTAAAGAATACAACGAATCCTAATCTTAGGCTCTAAATAAAAGAATACGCTACGCGGAAGTCTTAAAACGATAGATCCCTAGAGACACTTGAACCTGGAGTGCTCTGATACCAACTGTGATACCCCTCGATTCTAGAGCCACGGGTGATCAAGTCCGAGCACAGAATACAAGGGATATCAAACAATTAATATTTAAACAAGCATTGGAATACAAGATGAATTAAAAATAAACAGATAAGCTGAAAGGAAAACTAAATAATAAATTCTTATTTAAAAATCCTCAAATAAATAATGATTAAAATTCCATAATAAAATCCTCCAATCTTCTGATACCAGTAATTAATTAAACTACAACTCGGGAATCCATACTGTGGACCCCTAATAATATCCTAACTGACATAACTGAATCAAAAAAATAATAAGTTACTAATGAAGAAAAGTCCTACGTAGAGTCGGAAGAATGAATGGCTGTCTCTGCTCGGCACGAACAATCTCTAAGACTGGAACTGACGAACACCTGAAAAATAATGGTGGGTCAGGCCCACATACAAGTTCTAATCTACTACATCCCAAACAGAGACCCGATACACGTACACATCCTAATTAATTCAACAATAACTAAGTAGTCCATATATAGATATATACACACACTAAAGGAACCTCACTAGACTATAGAGTTGTCTCAACCTGAATAGTAGGCAACATGCAAAACGCACATATAGTGGGCATGAGTACCTAGACCTACCAGGGTACACAACTACGCTATATCTAGCTACACATCCCTGGCAATATACGCACCCTAACCACTGATCCTGAGACTCAAGCTCATATCATGGTGTATAATTATATATTTAAAATCCGTCCTATCCAACCATCAAAAATAATCTATCCAATTATTATTTCAATACTATGTCATCCAACTATTCCGTTGACCTGACACGAATAAGTAGGACTTAACACTATGGTTAATCCGTTCCCTTATTAAAAATAGGTAGGACTTAACTCGTAAGTTAATCCGTCCCTAATATGCCCCCATCCCATAATGGTGCATTAATCCATAACATATCCAAATAACAGTTTCCAACCCAAGGATAATGTAAATATATATATATTTTTACATCTAATAAACCAAATAAATATGATATAAATCTTATACACGTCCTTTGCATTTATTTCAGCAAAAATATCAATTCTAATTAGCATGCATTTAATTTACATCACAAGAATTTAACATGCATCTCAATTAAATTGCACATCCCCATGTACTCATTAAATTAATTTAAATCTAAACAATTGATTAAACTAATTTAATCCAACAATATTTAATTAATTTATCCTTTCTAAAATTAATTAAACTCCATACTTAGCATGTACACTTAAAACATGCATTCCAACTCTTAATGAATCTAATTAAATTAACTAAATATTTAATTCAGATTCAATCAAAAATATATTAAACTGACTTATACTTTATACAAATTTCGTTCTGCGTGTACACTTTATGAATAAAACAAATTTCAATTATAATTATATAATAAACTAGTTTATGTTAAAGTCATATCTTGCTACAAACAGATTGTTGCTTACAATTAATGCTTAGAATTCTAGAATGCAAAAGTGACCAAAACTAATGGTTACTTCCTTTTTCGGCGTGCCAAATTTACAAAGAAAATTTAGTTTTGAATTCTTATATACTTCATTCATAAACTGATTAATGGAAACATATATAGTTGACCTCGTTCGGCGTGTATACAAGGAACCACACTGATTCGTATCTATATATATAACTGGTGCATGCCAATTTGATTCATGCTAATGCTAAAAGAAATTTCTCGTGACGCGTGCATGAAGTAAACAAACAGAAATTCTAATTAACATTAAATTACAATCTGTTTGTTTTTTTTTTTTTTCAAAAACAACTATCAATGGCTTCCTTGTTCGGCGCGTGTGAATCAAATCTAATTCCATCTGAATTATATAAATTACTCTATACTAAACCCATAATATATTACAACATAATTAAAACCCAAACTATAATACAACACATGAAAATTTAATTTATCAAAATATGAAAATTATTTCAAACCCATTAGTAACACATGAACTGAATTTTTCAAATAAATTTATATAATTAGATTCAATTAATTTATTTAAAGAACCTAGAATTAATCGAGCATGCATAGGGTACGAATCAAAGGAGAAGAGTTAGAAAAGAACTTGCCTTTAGGGATTAGATAAAAAACCCTAACCTCCTTCTTCCTTTTCTCTTCCTTCCTCTTCCTTCTTTCTCTCTCTAAAATATAGTACGTAATATATTTTCTAACCTCTGTCACAACCCTATAATTATATATTTATAGTCAAATAAAATAACACTAATCCTTTTCCCAATCCAAGCCAAACTAATAATAAAAATAAAATAAAATCTAAATACTAAAAAGGTAACTAAAATATATGGTACGTATAATCTATGTGTAATCCTTTTTATATGTAATATATAAAATATATAAATATATATGACTTTCCCTATATATATATATATATTTAAATTCCTAAATAAATACACATCATCACACACAATTTCATTTAAACAATTAAATCAATTAACACATTTAACAAATAATTAAATCAATTAAACAAGTAAACAATTAGCCAATCAATTAAACAAGTAAACAATTAGCCAAGAAATCAACTAAATAATTAAAGGCAATTAAAAAAAATACCGAGACTATCCTTTTTAAAATCAGGGGTATTACAGTCTTCTAATACCAAGACCACTAAACTTCATTGGCTTGCAAACTTGTTCCCAATTGACAAGGTGATACTTAAATTCATCACCTCTACCACCCTAAAGGAAATCCCTTTGAATTTTTCCAATCTTATCAGCAACAGAGCATGAAATTTGGAACATAGATAAAAAAAAATATATGTGGGAAGGCTCGATAAAGTGCTCTTTATAAACGTAACTTTCCCTCCCTTAAATAAGTATTGTTTTTTCCATCTTACTAATCTCTTCGCATACTTATCAATCACAGGGTCCCAACTCCACAACGTTCTAGATGAAACCCCTAAAGGCAAGCCCAAATACAGAATTGGAAAAGAACTCGCCCTACACCCAAGGACTTCCGCTAAAGATGAAATATCCTGAACATCTCCAACTGGAACAAGCACATTTTTAGCCATATTAACTTTCAGACCAGAGACAGCCTAAAAACAGGCCCAAATGCAACTCAGATATCTAAGTTGAGACACATTAGCATCACAGAAAACTAAGGTGTCATCCGCAAAAAGTAAATGAGAGACCTCTATCTGATGGATAGGATCTCTTCCCACCATAAAGCCCTTGATCAGATCAAGATCCTATGCTCTTTGCATAAGTCTACTTAATCCCTTCATAACAATAAGAAAGAGGAAAGATGATAAGGGATCTCCTTGTCTTAAACCTCGAGAACACCCAAGGAAACCAGTAGGAGACCCGTTCCCAAGAACAGAGAATTTGACAGACAAAAGGCATGTCTCAATCCATTTCCTCCATTTACTTCCAAACCCCATTCTCTGAAGCATATAAAGCTGAAAATTCCAATTCACATGATCATACGTTTTCTCAATGTCAAGTTTGTACAAGACTCCGTGAACACCACTTCTCAATCTGGAGTCCACATATTCACCTGCAATAGGAACTGAATCAAGAATTTGTCTTCCTCCAACAAAAGCATTCTTGGAGTCCGAAATAATCTTATCCATCACTCCCCTCAACCTAAGAGCAAGGACATTAGCCATAAGCTTATAGATACGTCCCACTAAGCTGATAAGACAGAAGGCTTTAATGTCAAAAACACCTCCCTTCTTAAGGATAAGGGTAATGAATGTTGCATTAAGCGACTTCTCAAAGGCACCAGTAGAATAAAACTCCTGAAAAGTGCCCATCACATCATTTTTCACAACTGCCCAACTTTCCAAAAGAAACCGCATAGTGAACCCATCTGGCCCCGGAGCTTTGTCCCCATTACAACTAGATAAGGCCTTTAGAACTTCTTCAGTAAAACGAATCTCAAGCCCTTCCCTATCGATCTCGAAAATGGCTTCAAAATGAAGACCATCAAGTTTAAGTCTCTAAGCAAGTGGTTTGGTATAAAGCTTCTGATAAAAGAAGCAATCCTATTACGCACATCTTCCTCTATCCACCTCCATCCACATCTCTACACCTTCCACCCGAATACGTCCTATATGATTACTTATTCTATAAGCGTTAGCGAGTTTGTGAAAAAAATTTGTATTGCGATCTCCCGCTTTTAGCCAAAGAGCCCGAGATTTTTGTTGCCAAGATATCTCCTCCATACTGGCAATTTCCGCAAAAGCTGCCTGACAAGAAGCTCTTCTAGAACGCAAAAACTCCACATCCCCACCCTTCTTTTCTAAGCGATCAATCTCATAAAAATCAGCAAGAACTCTATTCTTCTTCCGTTCAAGATTCCCAAAAACGTCTTTATTCCACTTCTTAAGATCGAATTTGAGAGCCTTCAACTTTGTTGTTAACATGAAGTTAGATGAGCCTATGACAAGAACGCCCTCCCACCAAGACTGAACTTTCTCTTGGAAGTCCTCCGCTCTTAACCACATATTCTCAAATCGAAACGGAGACCTTTGAGAACTCAATATCAAAAGAAAAAAAAGGAAGAGAAAGAGGGGGTACGGCTGGTAGCAAATGGGGGACTAAAATTGTCTCTCTCTTATATATCCATTAGTTCCACTATAATATCAACAAATTCTCTACACATAAACATACACAACTTAAGGCCTCACAACATCAAATCCAATTGTCCCAACAATAATACTAATAATATTGATATAAGGGAAAATTCTCGAACACGGAAACCAATCTAGACCCACAAACCTAAAATGACTAGAGTGGCTCTAAATGCATTTATAAGAGTCAGTTCCTCGAATAAATGTCTCTATCGAATCCCGGAACCCTCGTGGAATGTATCCCAACATATAAAATATGCAAGGCACAAAAAATGAAACATGCGGTAAAACGGAAAAATAGTACCCTGTCCTCACACGAGTTGCCTCAATCCATCTCTTCCATCTCTCCTCGAAGCCGAGCCTCTACAACAAATACAACAGAAACTCCAACTAACATGATCATAAGCTTTCTCAACATCAAGCTTACTCAAAACGGAACACCAGGGACACCACTTCTCATCCTAGAATTCACACACTCGCTGGCAATCAAAACGGAATCTAGGTTTTGCCGGCCTCTAATGAAAGCATTATGGGACTTTGAAATAACTCCATCCAAAACACCCCTCTTTCTCTAAGTAAGGACTTTAGCTATAAGCTTGTAAATACATCTCACTAAACTAATAGGTCTATAATTCTTAACATCGGACGCTCCACTCTTCTTAGGGATGATATGGGCAATAAAAGATGCATTCAACGACTTCTCGAACCGCCATGAGCATGGAATTCCTTAAAGGTACCCATCACCTCACCCTTAACCATATCCCAACTCTCCAACAAAAACCTCATAGTGAATCCATCCGAACTCAGAAACTTATCACCATTATAGCTCTTCAGAGCTGTCAACACTTCCTCTTCAACTCTAAAATCAAATCAAAGTCAAGTCTGCCTACCCCTACTCACCTTTTCCGCCCTACACAACTCCATCCCATTAACACGAATCCTCCCAATATGATTACCACTCCTGTGAGCATTTACAAGCCTATGAAAGAATGGTCACCCTCTTTAAACCATAGAGTCCTAGATTTTTGTCACCATCAAATCTCCTCCAAAATAGCGATCTCAACAATCTCCGTTTGACAATCTGCTCTACAGACTTTCTGAACCTCAACAATACTATTCATCTCTTCCATCTAATCAATCTCAGCAATATCAGAAAAGGGCCCTGTTTTTCCTCCATTCTAAATTCCCAAACACCTCTTTATTCCATCTTTTAAGCTCCGTCTCCAAGAACCAAAGCTTCGCAGCCAAAACAAAACTCGAGTTACCAACCACCATAGCCTCCTCCCACCAAAACCGAATCCTCCCCTGGAAGTGCTCCGCTCCGAGCCACGTATTCTCAAATCTGAAAGGAGTACACCGAAATCTCAAACCACCACAATCCAGGACCAACGAAATATGGTCCGATGTCACCCTGGCCAAAGCTGCCTAAACAACATCCGGAAATCTCTCCTCCTAGTCCCCGAAAATCAAAAATCTGTTCGATCGGGAGAGAGTGGGGGACTCCCTACCGCCAGACCAGTTGAAGGCCATACCCTGCAACGGAAGGTCAAAAAGGTGATGGCCATCAATAAACTCCGAGAATTGCAATACAGCCAAAGATCACATGCCACCTATAGATCTCTCTGACGGGGATCTAACCACATTGATGTCCCCACCCACGCACTAAGGAAGGGACCACATCCCCCTCACAAGACTGAGCTCCTCCCACAGCAAGTGTCTCTCTCTATCCTCTACCGGCCCATAAAACTCCGTAAGAGCCCATCTAAAGCCATCCCCTATCACAAAAGCGCATGAAATAGAAAACCTCCCTTTCCAACTGTCCTTATTCTATCCCACATAACGAGATTGCCCCTAGAAGACCCCAAAGCATCCAACGCCTCCCGCTATACAAACCTTCCTCCCCAAAGACTCCTTGCCACCCTATCCGTCATTCAAGCAACCTTTGATTCCTGCAAACGAACCACATGCACCCCCCACTTCCTCACCCCTAACTTCACCACCTTCCTTTTATTCGAATCATTGAGACCCTGGACATTCCAAGAATTAATTCGGAGCTTCATGATGAAACACTATCATTGCCCTCCTCCCCTACTCCTCCCTCTGCCCCTCTCACTTCCCCTCTCCCTCACCAACCTTTCCTTCCCCTTATAGTTGACATAAGAGATGAGATTCCTCACCTCCCTCTCTTCTCTCCACAAAGAAGGATTCATCTTCCTCCTCCCCCCTCTCTGTCGTCGCAAGAAGAATCTCCAAAGCCTGCTCCATGTTTCCCTCCCAACAATTCACTTTTCTCACCAGTATTATCCTTCACCCACCCCTTATCTAAATCAGCAACTCCCTGCCCCGTAGTACCCATCCCATCCCTTCCGGATGCACCACAGCCAAAGGATCAACCACTCCCAAGTTTGAGTGACCCATTCCCTCCACACCATTAAGTCAAGAGACCCATCCCTCTTGTCCCGCAACTCATTTCCCTCACCTCTGTCTAGCCCCTTCTTCGTCTCTTTATAAGACAGCCAGTCATTGGAGCTATCCCATCCACAATCCGACCAATCAGACTGGGCATCCTGAGCCTTGCTTGGCAACTCATCAGACAAAGGTCTATGTTTTTATAGTTCCTATATCAACAGAGCTGCAGACTCATCACTAAGAGTGATATGGATATTGCTACCAACGCAAACAGCCATCTTCTCAAAGTGACCAATCTCACCATCAGCCTGAATGCTCAACACTCTCTGCTCAGCAGCCTTGCATACATCAGGACCCTTGTCCCTTTGAATCTGAACCTCTTACAAGCTCCCCATATCCCTACCATAAGAAGCAAATGGAGAACAAGAAATATCTGGAAGCGAGCCAGCTTCCCCCCTGCAGCTCATATCATCACCTCATTCAGAGTTGAGCCCAGTCGTAACAGATATAGTCACACCCCTTTTTGACTTCTCCGAATCCGGATGCTGAGTTGAATCCAGATATTGCTTTTTTGATCAGCCCTTTCAAATTTCAGCCATTTACCAAACTGGAGTTCTGCTTCACCGTTTGGATTTGCCAAGCGCCTTTTCATAAAATGCCCAAAGCAGCCACAATGAAAGCATATCTTCGGGAGACATTCATAACAAAGTGGGAGCTCATCATCTTACCTCCATAGTTAAGTTTTGCAAATCTTCTAATAGGTTTTGTTGTAGGAATATTTACTTGCATCCGAATGTATTGGTCCCTATGTTCCCCAGCATCCCTGATCTCTATCATTTCAGCCGCTTCGAAACTCACTGTAATTTTCTGTCTGACTTCCTGTGTGATACAATCGATTAGTAAATGAGTAATATGAACCCAACACTTTACTGAACAAAAGTCCATCTCGTGAAGTTGCAGACCTTTCTTCCATGGAATCAAACATAATTGATGGTTATTGAAAGTTCCATGGACTGGATCTTTGAACGTTCAGGACATCTTCAGGCGTCAATAAGATAAAATGGTATATCTTATATGTTGCCATCGATACTCTGAAGATCATTACAGCACCCCCACCATGAACCCATAACATTCCTGGGTACAAAGATGCTAATAGGTTTCTTACCAACATAAATCCCCTGTTTCTTAGTTGCATGATTCTAGGTCCAAATTTTGGAAAGTGTTCTTTTGATTTTTTTCTAGCATTTTAACTTCATTTTTGGTCATAATGCTTCTAAAGAGCATGCCAAGTGCATTTGCCAAGTGTCCCATTATTATTATTTTTTGAACTTTGTTTATTGCAGGTTGGGCTGATGAACCGGCATGAGTTATGATGCTGGTTTTTGCAGTCTGGGTGATGTACCCTCCTCAGCCGATGTAATTAGGGTGTTGTACCCTCACCCCCCCTCCCTTGATATATACATTACTCTATGGTCTATACCATATATATACAGGGTGTGATTGAGATCTGATATATACATTGCTATGGATTGTTTTTCTTTACTAAAATTTGATATAAAATTTTGATTGACGTGAGATAGAGATTTGATATATAGATTGCTATAGGTTGTTTTTATTTACTGTTGTGATGTTTTAATTTTTGTTTTTCTAAAATTTGAAAATTTTAGCAATTTTGATTGATTTGAGATTGAGATTGAGATTGAGATTTGATATATGGCTATCGGTTGTTTTTCTTTACTGCTGTGATGTTGAAGTGGTTCTTTTAAAATTTTAGCAATTTTGATAGATGTCAATTTTTGCTGAAATAAGACATTTAACCACTATTGGAGAAGGCGATGGTAGAGAGGAGTATGAGGTTTTCACGGTCATTAGACCTGCACATTTTTGGAAATATACTATTATTCAAAACATTTGACAACTCAGATGCATCTTGAGATTTAGCAATCTACAGTTTCTTCGTTTGCACCATGCCTTTTATAAGTTGCATTATTTATGAAAGGTTATTTGTCGTGGGGACTGCCAGACAAAAAATTGGATTTTTATATGGGAATTGGTCTTCCAAATATCTTCGACTTTTTATGGTATTATGACGAGGCATTACTATTTTTATTGTTATTGGTTAAAATTTATTAGTTATCATATGCAATTATAGGGTCCTGGCCCGTTGATCACTAATGTGTTTTGGAAGATTTTTAAAAGAGAATTTTGAAATGTGAATAAATGTATTAATTATTAACGAATCTGCGTATGCTAAAGAAAAAAAGATCAAGTTGGAAATAAATTAGATAAAGTGGTTCATTCTTTGTCTTGATGATTAGTACTAGATTTGTGTGCTAGTTTGAGACCGGTTGAACTTATTTTATTGATTTACTAAGATAGCAACATATTTGATTTCGGTTTATTCAAAAAGGATGCTAAAGTTGTTTTGATTTGCATGATTATCTTGCTTGATGTGTGGAGGACCATATTTGTTTGCTTGTTTTTAAAATTTTTGGAAATTGCTTAAAGGTGGTTGAAAAATGACATACTTGAGGTAGTTTTTATTCGATACTTGTTTGGAATGTTGGTACCTCTCTAGTGAGAAATAGCTTAATATTTGTGTGTATCATTCCTGTAACCCTCACGTGACTTCACTCGTCTACTAGAGGTAACTTAGTGATTTAAAAGACTTGTTACATATGCTAAATGCAATCGTGACCCCTACGAAAACGGTGTTATTCTTTTATTACTTTTTAGTTCGTAATTATATAGTTCATTTCATTTTTTTTTTTGTTTCAGAGTTCATTGCTATGGATCAGTAAATATCTAAGTTTGGACATTTTTGTACAACCGTATCCTATCAGTTACAAAGTCAAGTTGTTGCTAGAAACAAAAGGAAACTAGGAATTGGTGGGTCATCTTATTATGATAAGAATATAGTCAATCAGGCCATCTGTATTAGCCTCTCCGGATTTTGGCTCTCTAAAAATGTCATTTCAGCTTTTTCAAGAGTTACGTCAGCAATTCCAAGAGCCACGTCAGCAACTTTCGCTCTCCAGAAACATGCACTCCATTAGGCTCTTCGAATTTTCGCTTTCAAAAAAAAAAAAAAATTAAATTAAATTTTAACATTAAAAATAATGAATTAGAATAAGAAAATAAGAATTACAAAACCCTATGGGAATAAGAAAATGAAATTTTAATTTTAATTATTATTTTTTTAAAAGTTTTACAAAATTGAATTTTTAAAAAAAAAATTTAACATATTATAACCTTTAAGGCACTGTTTGTGTCAGCCAAACAGTGCCTTAACGGCCAAATGCATTGTTTATGGCAGTAATTTAAAATTTAAAGCAAAAATTTTTTTAAAAAAATCAAATTTTAAGGAAAAAAAAAAGGTTTTTTAATTTATTTTTGGGACAAATAATTTATTTTTTGGACAAACAATATATTTTTTATTTACTGAATTTTATTTTATTTTATTTTTTAAAAAATAAGCTCAAAATAACATATTTTGGGTTTTTTCAAAAAAATATTCTACGATCGGGCTCGGGCTTGCGGTATTCCACGAGCCGGGCCGCAAGCTGCTGTGGGCCCCGCCCAGTTATGCAAGGCTACTAGAGTGAGTTTGGTCCGTTTGGCTCTGGGAAAGGGCCTTCCGCGAGCCCACTGTAGCTGCTCTCATAACACAATCCAAATCTTTCCCATTCATTTCACTATATTTGTCATTATATATATATATATATATATATATATATATATATATATATATATATATATAAACACTGCGCCTTACACATTGTGAGACTTTGCTTGATCAAAATCATTCATAACTCAATTAACAGTGCTCACACGAGTATTAAAGTTGAGGCCAAATTTATGTGCCTACATAATGAATAAATGTTGATGTCTCTATCTCTCGAACCATTTTTTCTGTGAGACATAGCTTGATCAAAATCATTCAAAACTCAATAAACCTGCACTTCAAAGAAAGAGTATCTAACAACCAACTCGATAAAAACATCAAATACTTATGACCGGTAATACCTCTAATTTTTATAATATTTATTTATTTATATTTAATTTAAGAGTTAATTACAATGACACCCTATGAAATTTGTCATAATGACAGTCATATATAAATTAGTCTCTTTTTTAACAATGAGACCCCTTCAAGTTTGATAAAGTTAATAAAGACATCCCTGTCATCTTTGACATAAGTTAAAAAGACCTTAATACCCTTTCACATGTGAATTAATTCATTTGAATTATAAAATTACATTTTTAACCTTTATAATCATTTCAATGGACCAATTTAGCCCTCACACCACCACTACAGCAACTGAGAAGCCATACCAAAGGAGAAATTATTAGGTAGTCTTCGGACCACCAATCTATGGTCCCATTCAATCCTAGCCACACATCTAAGAAAATATGTCCAAGAAGATTATAGTTCAGCAACAACCATTACACGTTAGCCTTCTGTCTTCTCTCTCCTCCCAATTTTCTCTCTCTACACTTTCATTGGGTTCGAGACTCTGATTCAATCAACTCTGTGATAATGGATTCTTCGTCAGATAGATCACATTTCTACGACATCAGCCTTCCATAATCTCTATCGTCCAAAAACCCCTCAAACAGCTCCTTCTCAATCGCCGCCCCAACTGCCTCTTCACCGACACATTCCACCGTTGGTCCAGTGGTTCCCTGACATTTAGGGGTGTTGGCGGCAGCGGTGAATGCCCAAATTGAGGCGTGGATGCCCATGGCAGATCACGAGGTCATCGTCGTTGACGGAGATGAAATTTGTCGCTATGAGATTTGGTGAGTCAAAGAACAAGATACATTCGTCGGAGAATCGACGACCAAACCTACGT